TTAAATATGAATTAATTAAAATTAAATACAATTTAAAAGTCAAATCCTCAATCACATTAGCCACATCTCTGGTGCTCAGTAACCACATGCAGCTACTGTATTGGACAGCAAGATATAGGTCATTTCCACCATCACAGAAAGTTCTTTTGGATGATGCTGCCCTAGACAATACTCTTCTCTTATTATAGTGAGTCTTTTCTCCTGTTTTCTTCCTCCACTCGCCTCCCACCTTACGAAGGAAACCCACACCCAGATTCTTGGGGCTGCTTTATCATCATTAGCAGAAGGAATGACCATGAACTCCTGATCTAACCTACCATCATGGAAACACTAGGGACCCCATGTGACAAAGGAAAGAGGAGGGGCTTTAAAGAAGGAATTTTAATATGTGATGCTCATAGGCAGTATTAGGGGAGAAAACAGGATACAAAACATTATGTATAAAATTCCAGTTTTATGTGTATATATCTGGCTATATCTATCTGTAGAAATAAAAATAATTTTTCTTTATTTGTTTATACTATTCTCCATTTTCTAATTGGTATATTTAATTCCAAATATTTTTATAGTTATAAAAACAAGTTAGTTTTTAGAAGGAAGAAAAACTTCCCAAAATTTACAAGAGGAGGAATGAGTCTCCCTGACCTTTAGGAGCTGCAGTTTGGGTAGAGTCAGTTTGTCCGCAGATTCCTCCCCATTCCCCCTCCACCCCACCCCTTCATTCTTGGAGGTAAACTAACTTCTAAAATGGGGGGAGGGGTGATTTTATAACTAAATGGGACAACCAATATTTATTGCCAACATAAATTCATGTGTGCATTCTTCTACTATTACAAATGTGTGTGTTCTCACCCCAGCTGCATTATCACTCCTCAAGGACAAGGTCTTACCTTCTGTTGCTCTGGTCTCTCTGGAGGTACCTTGACCAGACTTGGTAACTACCACTGACTGACTGACTGACTGACTGACTGACAGATTGGCTGACCTTGCCATCACTCTCATGTTTTATGCTCACCAAATGTGTTAACATCTTGCCTCATTTTGCTTTGGGTCCGAGAGGTAGTGTTTCTTCCAAAGTTACTATGTGAAATCCAACAGCTGGAATACAGGAGCCATTCATCAAAAAAAAAAAAAATGAGTCAAGCTTTTTCTCAGTATGTGTGTGTGGCAAGACCCTAATAGAATTTTTTTAAATTTCATTAGTTTTATGGAAATAGCACTGGGAAGAGGATATGTTAAAGCTCTTTGATTTCAGTGACCACAGTCCTCCACACCAGTGCACTTGGCATCTCTAGTAGCTGGCTTCTTGAAGGGAGGGATTTAATAAAGAGGATTTTCTTTCCCCGAGTTGGCTGTGAGAGTGATAAAACATGCTTGCGGGGCCATTCTGGTTTCGAATATTTCTTGTTTCAGCCAAGACACCCACAGGCAGGAATTACAGTCCACTCTGCCCTCTTATGCAGGTCCAGATGGACAGGGGAAACTGGGAAAGGGAGCCCAGAATGTTGGGTTTAATGTTTAACACTGGGTGGATTTCACTGCATCTTTAACCTTGCACATACTCTTACACATCACAATGTGCAAATGTAGACTGAAGCCATATGACATGTCTGCTCTGTCATAGAAGCGTGAGAGAAGATAGGAAAGAATGAATGAATTGGTTTTCACAAAAGGCAGGTGAAAGTCTCTATCACTATACCTGACACACCTGAATGATTAATGTCCCTCTTTGGGGAGAGGGGGAGTTTAGTGACCTCACTAGTCACAAAGCTGCACATCCTGGGTTCATCAAACCACTCAAACTTGTTGCTGTTTTGAGCCGGTGCTTGGTGAATGAAGAAATCAGGGTCGGTGTCAATTAGTGCAGGATCCCAGAACCAATCTCAGCAAGAGATATATGGCTCAGGTCCCTGAGGGCCGAGAATGTTCCAGAGGATTCCACCTGGGAGCTGTACATGAACCACAGGCCTACTGCTGTGTTCATTCTTATGTTTGGTATTGCTGAAGGACTTACTGCCTTTTTGTACTTCTCTTTACAATTTTTTTTATTTTTGAGAACTACATTATAGTGAAATAATTTTACTTGCTTTCCTTATTGAGCAAACTTATATATTACATAAATTACATTATTAACATGTTAATTATATGATTAATGATATCATCAGGTTATATTATGTAACATGTAAATACTCATTTAATTTTCATAATAATTCAGTGAGGTGTAGGTATTAAGTTTAACTCCATTTTACAAATTGGAAAACTAAAACACCAAGAGGTCAAGTAATTCATCAAGACTATATAATTAGTAAGTAGTTGAGCTAGGATTTGAACCCGGGAAATCTGGCTCCAGAGTACTTGCTCTTCACCACTGTTAAAATTCAGAAAAATATAAACAAAAGCAAAGACACCTATAGCTATGTTGCCTTGCAATCTATCCTATGCCTAGGCTTCCACATAACTGAGCCTTGTCTCTGTATTCAGCTTTGTATCTTGGCTTTTTTCCAACCCAACCTTGTAATAGTCTTTCCACACTGTAAAAATTCTATATAATCATTGTTTTAATGGCTTCTTAATATTCCCATCATGTACATGTACCACTATTTGCTTAACCATTCTCTTATGGTTACCATTTTGACTCTTCAAGTTTCTATTATGATGGCCAACACTGCAATGACCATCTGTGTAGAATTTCTTCTGTTCTTTGGACTACACTTTTAGAATACGTTCCCACAAGTAAAATTTTCATATTGAAGAGCATGAACACTTTCAGGGTTCTAGATACAGCTTATCAAATCGTTTTCCAAAAGGCTCATGCTGTTTTGCCATGTCTGCAATGCTTCCACAGAATTTCTCTGCCACTCTGACTTTAGCACCAGAGTGATTTTTAGAAATCCTTGTCAATGTGTTAGGTAGAATATAGTATTTTATCCTCATGTTGATTTTTATTTCTTTGATGGCCAGGGGACTGACAGTGTGTCCCTATCAGTTGGTCAAATTTGTGGTCTGTTCGGGTCCTCTGCCCATCTCTCTATTGAAAGCATATAGAAGAAGCCTTCGAGTGTCAAAAAGAGAAGAGCCAATAATTTTCCCTTTTTTTCTTCTCCTGCCTTGACATGGAATTTCATTAAGTGTTTTCCTAGTATATAATGCTAACATGCACTTAATATTCCTCCCAAACTTTATGTGGACTTTTTCTTGATTCTGTATAAATATACAACCATCTGCTTATGAAGGAGATTACTACTTATTTTCTACTATGGGTGTGCCCTATGTGTAAACCTGCATCTTTCTCTCTGCCTTGGATCATAAGCTCCTAGAGGGCCAGCCTGTGTCTTTAGGGGCAGTTTAGCTCATATTCTTTGGTAATGTTTCTGGTAACCAGAGAACAGGCCTCCCGGCCAAGGGGAGCATGAGTGGTTGTACTCTAGAGTGCCAGTCAGAAATGAGAAGGGTTGTGAGCGTGGTAGCCTAGATATGCCAGTGCATCCTGGTTGTATTTAAAGAGCCAAAAAGAACCCCGATAGCACTTTCCTGCCTGTTGATAGGAGCTTAATTTTCTTTGACCAAATGTGAAGCCTTCCAATCTTTTTTTAAAATATGTTTTATTGATTATGCTATTACAGTTGTTCCATTTCCCCCACTTTGTTCCCCTCCACCCTGTGCACCCGTTCTCACCCATGTTCCCCCTCTTTAGTTCATCTCCGTTGTTCATATATATAAGTTCTTTGGCTTCTCCATTTCCTATACTATTCTTACCCTCCCCCGTCAATCTTCTACCTACCATTAAAGCCTTCCAGTCTTAAGAAGAGGCCGTTCTGGTAGAGGAAGGCACGTAGGACTAGGACCCAAAGTTCGTGGGTTAGTTCTGTGTTCTCTATCATGTAATATTTGTGCAAGGGGCCCTGGGGCACTTCCTCTACTAATCCCTCATTTTTTCCTACCAAAACCAGAGTAGTGATGGCAATAATAACTGATGTATATAAAGCACTTTAATGTTCTATATGGATTTCCTTATCTGATGATTTGCTTAATCTTCGTAAGATCCCAGCAACATGGATGGTGATGCTCACACTTGACGTTTGCAGAAACAGACACGAGGCAATGGAGTTTCCAGCAGAGCTGCAACCCTGCCTTTAATAAAGTATCAAATGAAGATTTCATTATTATATGTTTAAGAGCATATTATATGCCAAGAAATTAATCCACTGGCCTAAATTTATCTTGAGGCAGAGATAAAAAAGGAAAAGGAAGGTGTGGGACATTATTTAAAAAAGACCACATAAGGTCCCAAAGAAAACTTCGTTAAGTGAGAAACAAAATTGAAAGAGATAAATGAAACATGATTAGCAAGATATTGATGATCATTTTAAAATATTAAGAAATCTTTCCACATATTTCTCCATTTTACTATTCACTTTCAGTTTTCTCATTCATTACCAAGATCAACAGTAATAACAGTTGAGTAGATTACAGTAATCCGACTGTGGGATACTATGTACCTATTCAAAGTAATGAGGAGGATATAAATGTGTATGAATTTATCTGTTAGAAGGACAGGTGAATGATTAGATCTGTATTTATTTTTTAAAAATTTTTAAGATTTTTACTAAATGTGAAAAAAAGAATGTAGGATAAACAAAGTTAGGAAGATGTACTCCAAATCTGGTTGGAGAGCAAGGGTGGCCATGCCCTCTGAAGGTCAGGCCTTCGGCGTCCAGGACGCAGTGGAGAGTCTAGGGGAAGTAAGATGCCCTTCTGCTTCAGGTGCTAGAGCAGAAATAAAAATTTCGTAAGCCAATAAACTTTGAAAGCCCCTGAAGGTGGAAGCACTTCTGCCCAAAAGGTGCATTCCAAATTCTTGCTTAGAAGATTTTATGGGTGAGCTTAAGAGTTAAAGGCATTTTGTCATACGAAGCTAGGCTGAATGAGGGTCTGGTGGGGCTGGAACAATCTTTGGAAGTTGTGCCTTGCAGTAGCTCAGTGCTGTGCTTGCATTTCAGGATTTTACGGGCAGCTGCAGACATTCTGCCCCCCACACTACCCGGACTCCCAGAGAACCGTGCCTCCCAGCAGCTCCTGCAGTGTGGTGCCTTCCTTTGAGGACTACCTGGTCCCCACGTCCATGGGCCAGGCTGGCTTTGATGTTTTCCACAGAGCCTTCTCGACTCACTCGGGCATTACAGGTGTGTGGGTGTTTGTGACTTAGAAACTTGCTCAGACTGGCAGGAGAGACCAGTTGTGTTTCCTGTGACCGACTGGGCTAAACTTGACCCCAGCACATGACTGCATCAAATCCTGTTGCATCTACCCTTTAAATGTCACTCCTCTTAGCTTCTCCCAGCCCCACTTCCACGACTATAGTCCGGGTGCTGTCATGTGTTTTCCAGTGAGTCTCCCAAAGTCAGCCCCTTATCTTTACCATTATTCTGCTTTCCGTGTTGCCGTAACCAGTGCCTTCCAAAATGAAGGATAAAGTAAGTGATGTTCCTGCTCAAATACCTTAGTTTCCAGTTGCCTAGAGAATAAGTCCACTCTTCTCAGCATGGCATTCAAAGCCCTGGTGAGTTAGCCCAAACCAGACTTTTGAGACTTCCTTCACACATGTCTCCCAATGGGCTCTGCACCTGAGCTTTGCCATCACACTTGGCCCCACATGCCCCTCTTCTCTGTCTTTTCTCCCTGTTTCCTGCTTCTGGAATGTTCTTTTCTCAAAATTTCTCCATCTGTAAAAATCCCATCCTTTATGATTCAACTTCAATTTAGTATCACCTCTTTTTGAGACCACCCTCACCCTTTCCCAGACTACTTCATTTTTGCTTATCCTCAGCCCATATTTTGTGCCAAGACTTATTTTGGTCATTTGTCTGCATGCACATCAGCCTTGTCCTCCACTAAGAGGCCTGAGGATAGGCACCTTAAGGTGCCTGCTGTGGGGCCTAGTTCAGCACGGTCACCTCACTGCACCCCTGGGGGAGTGACAAGGCAGGAGTTGACCTGTCTGTTTGTTCTCTTCCAGTGTATGATTTGCCTTCGGGTTCCTCAAGCCTCTTTGGAGAGTCCATTCGTGGTGGGCCTGAAGACCCCACATTCTTGCAAATCAGCGCTGTGGACCGCTGTCCTAGCCAGCTCTCCTCCGTCTATACTGAAGGCTAAATGTTCCCCTGGCCTCCACCACCACTGGCATGCAGAACCTTTCAGTTGCTTGCCACCTGTTGTGCTCGCACCCTCATAGACTGCATGAAAAGTATGTCGACCAAGTCAGCAGAACCTGCAAAGTCACGGATGTGCTTCAGAAGGCAGGACTGGTTGGTCATAGCTGGGCTTCGCAGGAATGTCTGCATTTGCTCCTTTTCCTCTCTTGGTTCGCTGGTGACAGCAGGACTGTCTTTCCAAAGGGAATTGAGACTCACTCTACCGGATACCTGTTACTTCCTGGCTGTCAGCTGTCAGAGGACACCAATGAAGTGATGTGCTTGTGAAAACGTAGTTTGGGAATCACCCTTGCCCAACACCCTGAATAGAGAAGGACAACACGAATTGCCAGAAGCACAGTGAACTGCCTCGGCCCGTGCTCATCCTCACCGCTAGCTGCTGCCAAGCCAGGCACCAAGGAAACCCAGGTCCCACAGCACAGAGTGGGCTCCACCCTTGGGGAAACCCCAGGTTTCCAGCACCAGCCTGGCATTTCAGTGAGCTGGCTGCCTCCCTCTGTCCTTTTACGTATCCCCACGCTAACCAATTGCTTTTCAGTGTTTCTCCGAAAGCAAAATAAGAAGGTTCTGTCAAGTAGTCTTTTGAAAGGCACTACAGCTTGTTTTATATTTCAAAAACCTATCTTAGTTCTTTCATTTTTAAAGACTTGTTATTTACACTTATGTTAAATGGAAAAAAATATTTAGGAGTCTGTCCTTTGGATGCAAAAATTATTGTAATCACCCCAGCCAGCTACCTACGTTTTTTGCCCCAGCTGTGCAGCTCCACCTGGCCACCCCTTGCAGCACCTGTGAGCACTCCTGGAATGTTAGTTTTGCATTAGCAAAGGCTACCTGAGGGAAACAGGGTGGGCACACCCTCTTCCCAGTGCTGGAGCAGGAACCCTAGAGGGGTAACTCTCCAGCAACTCCACCTCAAAGACCTTGTTCAAAGCACAAGGTCGAGACCTGCTCCCCATTGCTTCTTCTCTGGTGCTCTCCCAGAGACACGCTAGGAGGTGTGAGCACAGGGACACACTGAGTTACGTCCCTTGGTTTTCTTGAAAACCAAACTAGAGATGCCCTATATCCAGTTATTTTGCACAGCCTCTGCTCACCTCCCTCAGGAGATCCACCATCTGACTGTCTGTCTCCCCCTGGCACTTTTCTCCCCCCTTTTGCATTGTTCTCTCCCTCTTCCTGACTGTGGCTCAGACCTGCCCACCACCCACCATTGTCTGATCCTCCACTCTTAGCCCGGTCTGACCTAAGGCAGGCAGAGGAAACAGTTCTGGGAAGGTGGGCAAAAGAAGACAACCATTTTTCCCTGGTTTGAGGGCCTGGGATTTTCACAGAGCACTTGGCCAGTTGAGATAAAGCCTGAAGATGAAGCCATTTTCCATGGCACCTTTACAGAGCTTTAAAACAATCCCAAGTCCTAAGGCCTAGGCTATAAAAATTAGCCAGACCCCAAAGACCCCCAGTAAATTAGGGCATCCAGTACTGTCACATTTCATGCTTCCTTTTTGCTCTCTTTAAAAATGTTTTCTGAACCAAAATGAAACAGTGCTGTTTGTTAAACCGAAATAATTACAATCTTCAACAAGACAATTAAACAGCTTAGTGTCAGAGGTACCCAGTGATAGCTGTGTCCTGACAGATGGGTCCTTCTAGTCTGGCTGCGCAGTCAGTGGCATTCTGCCTGCATCTGGGCCTCATTCAAACATGTGGTGGAATAAGGTGAATAAAGAACCAAGTGTGGGTCCATCTTTATGTGCGCTGGGTCAGTCCAGTTTCTCTGTGAGCTCTGATCTGAGGACAGCCATCCCGTGCAGACGTCCAAGTCTATGAAAGAAACAAGTTATTCACTTGACAAAAATATGCTCTACTTTATGAAAGGATGCATATTAGGCTCCCTTTCTAAGTGAGCTCTCTCAGGCTGCATGTAAAGTACCACCCTCCTTGCAGACTTTACGGGTGTATCACTTGGCCTAAGCAAGGATACATGCATGTGACACTAACATCTCTCATGTGTCACAATCTGTAAAGAAAAGAAAGCTTTTTAGAGAGACCGTCTATCCATAAGCCTTTATGAGGAACTCAAAATGTATTTCATTTGTGTGGTGAGGAGGCAAAAGGGAAAAGGCAAGGTTTTTCTTGCAGCTGATGTTGTCACCCCTGTCTTATGGCTTTAGGTAATTTGAAATGGAAAGGGGAAAGGAAGACAAAGCCAAAAGCTGGAGGAGATAATGCTCCTGTGCCAGTCTCCGGTCTTATCATGGCTTCACAGGGGCCCCACCCCTCTCCTGCTTTGCTGTGGCTGGAGGGAGCCAGGCAGCAGCAGCCCCTGCAGGTCTGGCCCCTCAGGGGGCACTCTTGTTGGCAGAGGGATCTCGCAGGGAGCGGGGCCCAGTGCTGCTGGCAATGCTGAGAGCCCCTCACATCCACTCAGTGTTTCCTGGTGGCTGCAGGCTTGAGCTTAAGGCCAGGTCAGGACACCCAGGTTCCTTCTCAACTATTCATGCTGCCTTTAGATTCCAGAATCTCGCTTCTCCTTAAAATTTGTTTCTTGCATTGCACAGGACTTATATATGCTTTCATTATTATGTTTTAGCAGTAAAGATGGAATGTTCAAAAATTCATTCCCTTCCATTTCCTGGCCTTTTTAGTCTTTATATGTAACCATTTTCACACACATTCAAACAGAGATTGTCATCCCCCCTTTTTAAGTAAAAACGGGTGCCTATGAAAATACATGCAGCCCAAAGCTAATTATCCTATTACATTAACAAAAAATCAGTATGCCTAGGGACATTTCACTTACTGCATTGTGTTGATTCCCTAAAGGGACTGCATCAAAGTGTCAGTTGTAATTTAGCCTCCGATCAGCTGTTAAATATTATTTAAATATTTACTAATCCTGTGGGGTCCCTTTACCTGTCTCCCCCAAGTTACATGATTCTAAAGTGGAGAGTAGGTCTTCAGTGGACCACCGCGTACTTTTCACTGATAAAACCAAGTGTCGGTATTCTGTTGCTTCTACATGCCCAGCTGTCAGGCACATTAGCGTGCTAGAACAGAGGTGGATGCTCGTCTGCCCAATCCAAGAACCTTGACTTTTCAGTTGCCTTGAAGTATTGGGAATAGTGATTGTAAATGTCCGATTTAATTATTTGGTGTTTTATTTGACTGTTTTGACCATGTCATTTTATAGAATTTTTTAATGGCACTTTTTGTTGGTCATATGGAATTTCTGCGGTTACACTTTTTTTTTTGCAAAGGATAAAGCAAAAAAAAAACCACTCATTGGAAAAAATGGTGAGTGTAAAAAAGAAGAGATTTATTTTGTACAGACAGCAGAGCATCCTGTGTAATGTTGCTGACATAAAGCACTTTGGGGGGAAAAGTGGAAATCTGTTTTCCATAAATCACACAGACTCCTGTACATAGTTATATACACTCACGTAGAGAAATGAACTGCATACATCATCCTGGATGTGGGGCCGATTTTACTCTAAGGGCACATCTGGTGCTTATTGTCATAAATCTTTTAAAGAATTAGGTACACTTTTTTTCTATTAATATGTATAGTTTTGTGATTTGTCACAGTTATGTTTCATATAATCATAAGTTATTTTGTCTTGTTTCATGAAGCCCTTTTTTATGTCAAAAGTAAAGTGAAGGGACTGTGCACTTGGTACAGAATAAAACTGGAAATAGAGGATGTGCCCGCCCACCTGAAACCCTCCCTCAGCACGTCATTTTAAAACACAATGGCAACAACTGTTTTTTCGTTTGTTTGTTTTATTATTTTGTTTTGTTTTACCATAAGCCTCCTTCATATCGGGATGGTGATGATAATTAAAAGCAGATGGGGTGGGGGAGGGAGGGTCCAAGGCCAGCTTTAAAATGCTGCATTGCTTTGGGCCAGAGCTGCAGCCTGGATTTAATTATAGATATGAGGACGAAATGGCAGTAAAAATGAATGTGTCCCTGAATCCTTTACATGTTGGGAGTGTCCATAAATAAAACATGAAGTTTTATTTCATCAGATTTAATTAAAGCTTTTATACATGTTTTATTGGTTATTCTATTAATCCACTTCACAAACTGGATAAATGTGTGCTGGAGTTTGGGGTGTGTTTGTGCCTTTTCAGTGGAGTGCTACATAATGCCTCAGAAACGCCGCTCCCACTTGGCCCTCCAGGTGACAGGGTTTTTGCCTGCGGGCTGCCGGCGGGGTGGGTGCCTTCTGTCCAGTTTCCCTAAAACCCTGTCGAGCAAGATGCAAGCATCAGCTTGCCGTTAGCTGACACCCTGGCATTGGAAGTCCTCTGATTTCCTGATGGAGAAACGGGCAATGACCATTTCCCTGGCTCATCCTGTCCACTCCACAGGCTTTGGAAGGCCACCTGACCCACTGGCTGCGACGGCCTTTCTCCGTCAGCTCCCATCCATGGGGGTGCAGGGGAGAGGAGAAAGTAGTCAGGACATTCTCACACCTGGCTGGCCAGTTAGCCAGTTACAAAGTCTAAAATACAATCACATTATCTCAAGGATCATTCTTAGAATGTTGACTGTTTTCTTGCTATGTGTTCAAGGCCTGAGGATTACATGAAGGGAAGATACAAAGTAGAAGAGATTACTGCTCCCATGCACTCTGGCTCTCCGGAGTGCTGGGGCAGGTGTGGTTCAGGGTTTAGAGATGGAATTAGTGCTGACTGATCAGACACTAAGAGCTTCTCTGCTCCCTAGAAGGAGGCAGCTGGTGGGAGTTTATTTGGTCCAAACTTTTTGGAGAATAGTTTGGTATTAACCATTAGGGTTGAAGATATACATATCCTACAATTCAACAGTTCCACTCCTCTCCAGAGATTTTCACATAAATCAATGATGGTTCAGATACAAGATGTTCATAGCAATGCTATTCACAATAGTCAAAAATTGGAAATGACCCAATCGTCCATCAATGTTAAAACGAATAAATGAACTGTGCTAAAGAAATACTGTGGAATACCATGCAGCTAAATAGTGACAGAACTATAGCAACATGCAGTAACTCAGGGCCGAGTCTCACAAACTATGCTGAAAGAAACCAACACACAAAAGCAAATGTAGTGTAAATTCTACAAATACACAGTTCAAAAGCAAGTAAAATTCAATTACAGTAAGTAGCCCCCCTTATCCTAGGTTTCACTTTCTGCAATTTCAGTTGCCAGTGATTAACTGCAGTCCAAAAACATTAAAGAGAAAATTCCCGCTCTGATCCGGTAGCTGGGTTGGTTAGAGTATCATCGTGATACACCAAGGTTGCAAGTTCATATCCTGTGAGGGCACATACAAGAAACAACCAATAAATGCATGAACAAACCAAACAACAAATTGGTATCTCTCTTTCTCCACCTCTCCCCCTTCTCTCTAAGATCAATAAAAATTTTTTTTTAAATTTTCAGAAATAAACAATGAGCTTCCATCTGTCGGAGTGTGTGTATGGGGTGGGGGGACAGTTAACTTTTAAATTGCAAGCTGCTCTGAATAGCATGACGAAATCTCACAATGTCCTGCTCTGATCTGTCCTGACGGGAATTACCCCTTTGGCCAGTGTCTCTGCCTGCAGACACTCACGCCCCACGTGCTCACGTGCTCTCGCCTGTTAGTCACGGGTTGGCGGGGTGGTAGTTGCCATTTTAATTGTCAGACTGACTCTCTGGGTTTCTCGGTGCTTGTGTTCAAGTAACTCTTATTTTAATTAAAAATGCCCCCCAAACCCAAGGGTTGTGTTGCTGGCAATTCGGATAAGCATAAGAGACATTGCAAAGTGCTTGTTAGTATCGTCAGAAGGTCAGTATCCTAACACTTCATTGTGATGCCTCTGTCTTCAACTCAGTTGTGTCACCTGGAATCATCACAAAAAGGTGAGTACAGCACAACACGCTACTTTGAGAGAGAGCACATTCACAGAACGTTTATTGTAGCATTTTGTTATAATCGTTCTATTTTTTATTAGTTGTTAATGTCTTATTGTGCCTAGTTTATTGATGAAACTTTATCATAGGTATGTGTGAGCAGGAATAAACATAGTGTATGTAGGGTTCAGAACTAGCCTTGGTTTTAGGTGTACACTGGGCATCTTGGAACATACTCCCTGTGGATAAAAGGAGAACACGGTGTGGCATTTACATGGTAAAAGTATAAGGAACAGCAAGGAAGACACCACAGAGGACCAGCTACCGGCGAACTCTGTGCAGGAAGAACAAACGCAGGGAGGACTCTGAGGTGATGACCAGCGATGTCTTTCTTCCTGACCCACGTCTTAGGTTATACAAGTGTTTGCTTTGTAATTATTTAACTGTGCACATATACGCTGTAGTTTTTAGTTCAAATGCCAGTGAAGATCAAGTCATATCCCCTACTTGGGGGCCTACAGACTTTTCCTGCAAAGGGCCAGATAGGACAGATTTTAAGCTTTGAAGGCCATAGGGTCTGTCTCAATGACTCACCTCTGCCATTGTAGCTCAGAAGGCTCCATACACAGCATAAGCCCATCAGCATGGCCATGTTCTGGTGACACTTTACTGATGGACACAAATTTGAATTTCCTATAATTTTCAGATGTCATGAAATATTTTTCTTATTTTGATATTTTTTAATATTTAAAAATCTAAAAAAACCCCAACCCAACACATCCTTAACCCACAGGCGGTGCAGAAGCAAACAAGGCTGAAGGCAGGGTTTATTCCATGGGCCATGGGGTGCTGACCCTAGCCAGCCGAAGGACACTCCCTGGCCTCTCCCGTAAACACGCACCCAAAGAAAACTACAGTCAGGAGCCCCTCGGACGATTCTTCGGCTACACCGAGCCCTGCTCCTAGAGGAAATTCATGAGTTCTAGTGATTAAGCTTTTCTTTGTTTAGATTTTAGGTTCTGCTTCCCGGGATACAGATGAATGCTTCGAGCCCGAAATTTCATTCGACTGTATCTCTGGAGTTGAGGTTTTTAATAAAAGGCACTGGGCTTGAAGAAATATGTGAGAATTGGAAAATGAGTACCCATTCTTTCCAAGCTAACCAAATATTTGCTGGATCTTGGCAGCCATAGCCAACCTTTTCCTCTGAAATGCTGTGCGGTCATAGTGATGGGAGACTTAACTTTTCTCAGGCCATAGCTCTTGTGCAAAGCTGGAGCTTCCTCTCAAAACCTGTGGTTTTCTCAGGGAGAGGAGAATCAGGGCTTTATGTTCAAAGACTCCATTGAGAAGTGGTTGGAGCAGACTCATGGGGCTCTGACAGAGCTAATGGCTTGTACCCCTTCCACCCAGCTGGAGAGCTGTTCAACACCCCGGCGTTTTCTCTGGCCCCTGGTTTCCTGTAATGCCTTGTTCCCTAATTCCCAAATCTGGGGGTTTATTAGCCCTGGCAGTGCTGCTTCTCAGCTACTCCGAGAAGGAGACCAAATGCACAAGAGCACAACTTCATGTCCTCCTTTGTATCTTTGCCTTGTGATAAAATTGATAGTTTCAAAATATGGTTATTCATGAGTTGTGAGTCATTTGCTGAATCACAGTGCGGACTAGACTAACTCCTCTTCAGCAGACCTCCCTCGTGGTTTCATGTGCTTAGGTTTGTGCATTGTGTATGGCTCTGATCGATCTGAAGAGTCTGGGAACACAGTAGCTTGTGTAAAATAACCTGAACTTTACAAAGAGAAGGTTAACCAAGAGAAAGCTGACAGACTATCCAGTGCAACCTCATCATTTTACAGAGGAGGAAACTGGCATCATTTCATTCATTCATTCATTCATTTGTTCACTCACTCAACATTTATTGTTTAAAATAAACAGGTAGAAGAGGTTTTTACCCTCATGGAGCCAGTCACGGGGATTGCAAATAATCATCTGCCTGAGAATATTGCCCAAATGCGTGTTAAAAACTCACATTCTAGAGCTATTGAATACACACCTCAGAGCAACTAAGCTGGATTTTTTTGGGGGTAAGACAGAGGCATCTGCATTTTTAAAATAAGCTCTTAAGATGGTTGTTTACGCAAACCAAATTTGACACCCCCCTCAAAATAGTGGAGGAAGCCAACCATTTGACAGGGTGACACAGTGTAATAAGAGCTGAGCAGAAGAGGGGCTCCCACTCCCTGCCTGGGGAGATGACAACAGGGCCAGAGTTTCCTGAGGGAGGGGGTGGGTGTCCAAGATAGTCCTGATAGTTAATCTTCAAGAAGCAAAGAAGCAGAGGAAGGATAGGCCAGGTGCAGGTGCGTGCAGAGCCACCAGGAGAAAGAAAATAACTTGCCAAGGTCACCCAGCTGGTTAGTTGGAGAGTTAGAAGTGGTCCTGTCCCTGGGCTCTGAGTGATTCTTCTCTCTCCCTGAGCCCCGGCCCCCCTGTGCAAGCCTGAGGGCGTTGTTCCCCAATCCAGCAGGCGATGGTATACAACCAGTTACTCCACAAAAAATTATTCTACCGTCAAATTAGTTTGCAGAATGGTGGGTCAAAGTTCTACAGATTCTTTACTTCAGGACCTGTCAAAGCCTGTCCTATGTTCACCACAGTGTATTATGACTCTTCCATACTACAGTATATTATGGAAGAGAGTTTGACAGGTTTCCCCAAAATTAAAAATATAATTACCATATGATCTACTCTTAGGTATATATTCAAAAGAATTGAAAACAAGGACTAAAAACAGATGTACACCAATGTTCCTAGCAGCTTTACATACAATAACCAAATTGTAGGAAACAACCCAAATATCCATCAATGGATAAACAAAGTATGATCTATACATACATTGGAATGTGATTCAGCCTTAGGAAGGAAATTCTGACACAGGCTGTAACATGGGTGGACCTTTAAAACATTACTCTAAGTGAAGTAAACCAGACACAAAAGGACAAATATACGAGCTACCTGGAACAGACCAACTCAGGGAGCCAGAAAGTAGAACAGAGGTGGCCAAGGGTGGGGAGGAGGGAATGGGAAGTGACTGTTCAATGGGCACACACTTTCTCTTTGGTTTGGGATGATGAAAAAGTTCTGTGGGTTGTACAACATTGTGAACATACT